TTTAAATGGAGATTACATCGAAATTTGAACGACACTGCCTGCATCCACTTTATCAGGTTTTTATCGCATACCAATGTGATGTATGTGTTTACGTCAACAAATCAAAATCACTGTGTATGCAAACGGACAAAAAGTTTAGCGCTTTAAATGTATCTGTGAAAAACAAAAAAACCTGCGATTACGATTGCACTGTAGCACTCGAATGTTTTAGGATTTAAAAAAAACCAATACAATTTCATTATTTAAAAATCCAATATGCCGATATACCACCATATATATATATATATACACCATATATTTTCTTCTTTCATACACACAAAACATAAATTGACTTTGTTATGCGGAATCATTTGTTTACTCATTTACACTCTGCCCTGTTCCAAACAGCTGGCTGTCTTCCAAGTAGGTGTTTACAAACAGGGAAGTTCTACAGCGCCATCTGGTGGACAAACTATACAACACCAACGCTCAGATTTAAAGGACGTGTCTCTCGTCTCTTTTCTTTTTAAATTGACTTTTTTTTTTGTCTTTTTAAAGACTGCAAACATTAGCAAACAGCTAACATTTGCTGTTTCAAGAAATAATAATAATTATAAAAACATTTGCTGTTAACATCTACCTGCCGATAAATCCATTGGGTTCTACTAGAGTGTTTCCACAGGCCATGTTAACATGGACAAAAACCTGTCCAGAAAACTAGAGTTCCCTGCAGCTTTCCAAAAATAGAAATGTACTTTTGTTTGAATGAGTCTGACTGAATGTAAGTACCCTAGAACAACTAATCTGAGAACAGCATTAATTTCCATACGCACGATTCACAGTAAAGTGGGTACCCAGAGACTCTGGAAAGTGAATGATATTTGGCGACTTCAAGTCTCCATGGATGAAATAACTGCATGTGATGCAAAGTCGGTGGGACCCGTGTTCAACTTTCAGGCGAGCGACTGAAGAGACAACCAGTGAGAGTGAAGAATACCGCTGATTGACATATGACCTGCTAGTAAATACATTAAAGGGTCACTTAGGCAACTGGAGCCTGGAATGGCCACAAGTGAACCGCTGTTTTATTAAACTGAGCATGGCAGGAGCTGACTTCCTGTCTCGTTATGCAAAGTTTTGCTTATCACACATGTTGCCAAGGTGCTTAACAAGAATAAGCCCATCTGTGACGATGAGGAGGGCTTGTTTACTTCCTAATGGTAACCACACAAAGCATAGATGGAAGCTGATCTCAGAGCAGTTTAAAGCAGAGCCAGCGGCAGCTTGTCCAGTATGTTAATCTCAGTAATGACACAACAATAACATTTAATAATGGTGCAGCAGATGGTGCAAATAAAATGTGATTGAATAAACTAATGACATGAATCAATATAAATTGCAACATTAATAACAAATGGAAAATATTATTATCACTTTACGGTTTGTTAACAGTAATACAACACTTGACTGAGTTTCTATTTAACATATATGAGTGATGATCATTATAAAGTGTTAAGGACCTTTCTAATGACTTGTGTGCAACATTCATCTGTGTGTCTGTTACAGGAAGTCAGATGAATAAATCAAAGGGAACTGACTTCACTCTAATAAAGGATATCATCTCTGATAATCGAAGTGGTTATAAACAGAAGACGCACAATAACAGGCATGACAGCCGCAATTAGCCTCCTGTACATGTGAGGGAGGCGGGATGAGTGTTTCTGCTAAACACAGAGCGCACTTGTGTTTAGCAGAAACAACACGTTAAAATATGATTGAACTTGTTTATCTGCGTGTGAGCCACACTGTAGATTAACAGGTAGCAGCTCCACCTCAGTGTCACAGCTACAGGTCCAGGTGCTGGAGGGTTAGTATGTGATGTTAAAGCTATTGTTGCATCCTCTGAAGCTCATTTACCTTCATCCTCTCCCTGCACTGGGACGGGGTCCTCTCGTATCCCAGCTCCGACAAGGCTCTGGACACCCGTTCGTACATGGCAGGACCGGGGGCCTTACCAGAGAACACGGTGCCGGCGACCTCCAGCTGCTGCATCCTCGCCTCCGTCAGCCTCTCGTTACCCCACACCGCGATGAGGGCGTTTGTCTCGGAGGGCGTCCACGACATCCCTCGGCAAGCCGTGAAGCTGTTGGAGGAGGATGAGGCCGTGTTCCGGCCCGCAGCCCCCGAGCTCACGTTCAAAGGCGAGAAGCGGTTTGGCGTCGAGGGATTAGAGTGATATTGATTACTGTCACTCAAATCCTCCGATTCAGGGGATGGCACCTCGGTTTTCGGTACCTTTAACGGCGTCGATATCTCTGGAGAATGCTCTGTGTTACTGGACGCCGCCATGTTGCCTCTGTTGCTAAGGGGAGGGGAGGGAAAGTGACGTCCGGCTTGGAAAAAAGCACGGCGTGGATCCTGGAGGGATTATGTAGTCTAAACCAGTTTCTCATTGCACTCAGTTATTGTATTTGTGTTGCTATCTCACTGATGAAGAACTACAATTAATTAAAAAGGATATCCAACA